GTGGGGTTTGAACCTGTGCTCCCCCTGATCCGAACACCAATGCACTAAGCCACACCACATTTTTTTTCTACATTTTTCTCTACCCTGCTGATGTCCCTGACATCATATCGGTAGCTATTTCTTTACTCGTTTGCTTTATTATCATAAATACTATAATTCACACTTACGCATTGTGTTTATTTCCGAACCGGGTAACAACAAGCTGAACCTGAACCTGGTGTACTTATTTGTTTGTACTTTTACTTGCCTTTTATTTAATATGCAAGGCTAGTCTTTTGCGTTTAATCCGCACTGTACGTTTGGGGCTGTAAAGCCGTGCATTTCCAGATAAAAATATGTCTGATTCTGTTGATTTTAAGCTGTATAAACTCACATGATATTCAGCACCGAGTCATTCCTCAGGACTTTGTGCGACACGTCCACGTTCAGGTACATGCCTCCATCTGTGCGCTTGATAGCGGTTGAATAACCTGGCCACACTTGCAGCCTACACAAACACACACACACACGGAGACACACACACACACACACACACACACACGGACACACACACACACAAACACACACACACACACACAGGGAGACACACACACACACAGGGACACACAGGCACACACACACACACACACACACACACACACACACACACACACACACACACACACACACACACACACACACACACACACACACACACACACACACACACACACAATAATGAATGGACCTGATTTGAAATGGAGTATACGCTCTAATGTTCAAATACGTCTCCGTACTTACCGGTGTTTTCCAAGGACGACGGCGCTCTCTGGATCGTAATGATTTCGACCGACAAGCTTCAGCCCGACGATTTTCATTACCCTTGAAATACAAAGAGAAGGCGCTGAGTCATTTCCTGTCAGTGGACCATCCTAATAGAAACGTAATGGTAGCGTTATTCATAAGGGGACAAAGTTTGGCTTAGGTTATTCCATATTAAAGGGCTTTTATGAAGACGACAGAAAAATTGTGCATTTCCTGAAGCAGAGTGACTTTGTTTCGTTTGACCATCCTAATAGATAGTAGCATTATTCATAAAACGGACAAAGTTTGGCTTAGGTTATTCCATTAAAGGGCTTTTAAGATAAGATGTAATTTATTGAGCCCAATTTGGGAAATGTTGCGTTGCAGAAGCATAAAAGACAAGGCATTGCACATATGAATACAGGGTTCCTGCAGGTTTCACCAACTGCAATGTAAGACTTTTTAAGACCACTTTGAATAGAATTTAACACCTATTTCACAGCAAGAAAGTATGAAGGAAAATTGCTATGAAAGAAGAAATACGTCCCATAATTGCTTACAAAGTAAATGTATTCACGTTCAACATAAGAACGATGACTGAACGTAACAGCACATGTTGTTGCGGGATCTGCTGCACTAGCTAACGCTACATTGGACACCATTGATGCTCCCGAAGCGTTGGCGAAAACAGAAGAGATGGAAGGCGTTTGTAATTGATTTTTTTATTTGGGTCTTGTGTTTCTCTGACTGACCGTGAGATTGTAAAGCCTTTACCCCCAATATTCAGAGTTTAACCGTTTTTTTGTTGCAAAAGGTGCAGTGGGCTTCAAACACGATCCCCTCCATTGGTTTCAACCAAGCACTAAATTCGATGTTTTCCAACCAAATACGGTTGAACTTACACTTCCATATTTATTTGTAAGTAGATTCGAAGATGCCTGAGTTTGTGACTGCCGCTAGCTGAAGCTTAGTTGGTTGCTAGGTTACCAATTATAGATTGGAACAACTGTCACAAAACGTATTTCCCCCCAGCATAAATTCATAATTTTTATTCAGATTAAGCCATTTCAACTTTGCATTTAATATATCCTATGTTTGGGTTTTGTCTGTTAACACAATATACAAATACTAATTGTAGAACAAATCATTTTTTTCCGCATAACTTATAAAAGATAACGACTGTTCCTGGTTAAATAAATTGCAATTACCTTTTATGTCAACAGTGTTAATTGTATGGAGTTATAGCAAAGCAGAACACCATCGATCAGCCTATGAACACACATGTGTTTTGCCTTGATCATTTTACATAATAATCCAAATCTAAAGTTCTCATTCTCTGACAAAAACAGTGTAGGATTATTATTAAAATACCTCCTGAGCACCACATTGTAGAACGGGATGCATAGATCCGAGTTGGGTGGCAAAATCTTCGTCTTCTGGACTCGTATATCTATTTCCTCGTTATCGGTTCGTCTCACACTCTTGAGAAGAACAACCTGTAGGACGTCAAACACGATGCAAGGAAGAAATCCAGTGTTATTTTCACAGATTTTGCACAGTGTAGTTTGATTTCAATACGTTTCAAATGACACTACCCCTTTCTACTTCTGACCTTAAAGAAGTAGAATGGGGTGGTGACTGAAATCGGATTGAGGATTATGAATTAAATGTATCAATGAATGGGTTCTAGATTGCATCAATATCAGTGGGTTTTTTTTTTATGCCAGCATATAATTTTTCCTTTGAAATGTATTTCCATTTTCCAAAATTGTGATATTGCTTTTGTGTCGTCATTTCCAAATTCCAGATATATATTGTTATTAGGGCTGTCAAACGATTAACATTTTTAATCAGATTAATCATAGCTTAAAAATTAATTAGTCATGATTAATCACCATTCGAACTATGTCCAAAATATGCAATTTCTTTATGTATATTGTTGTGGGAATGGAAAGATAAATGAAAGAAGGCGGATATATCCATTTAACATACAGTATGTATGATTATTATAACATTGTTCTGTGTGTCAAAATGAAAGACAGCCCACACACCTATCAATCATCAAACCGTGGGGTCTTATTTCATTACGTGTTGATTTCTATCAACACGTAATGTTGTATCGATGTATATAGAGATGTACTACAGCAAAAGTATTCTCCGTCAGGACTTCCTGCAACAACACCACGCCGTTATCTTGATTCTGATTGGCCAGAAGACATTATCAAAGATGTTCTATTGAGAAGACGATCACTACGTGACAAAAGTTTTCAAAACCGTTTCTAGTCTTCGGTATTTCCAGTCAAGTGGCTATTGAAATCAATCTCACTAACTGCTGTCTGCGCAATTTACTCCGCGAGTTGGCGGACTTTATTTAGCTTACTTTAACATCATTTTTCATGGTGGGGCTAAGGTGGGGCTAAGCCATTTCTTGGTA